AACAGGGGTTGTAAACGGGGGGACTTTTTTCAAATATTTTTTGTGTCAACTTGATATAGCTAGGTAACAGATGGTATATTATGTTTTTCCTGCCTTAACACAATTTAAAAACAAGCTACAGATGGCTATAATGAAATCCTCATTAACACACTTATATTTTCACAGTTCAGTATGGCAATAATGAAACTTTCAGGTCTGGAATTTCCTGTTGGTTAATTAGCGGTTAGGTTAATAGCCTGAGGAAGTGCACAACCCAAAAAGTTTCCTTGTTGTTTAATCATATAATTACTATATTCATATTTCTGGGAAAGCTCTCAAGACAGATTTAATGTCACAGTAAAGTTACCTTTATAACCCTCCCTGTTTGTGAAACAACAGTATTATTTTATTTAGCAGAGCGTGTAGGCAGGAAAGCCATGAACAGGCCTAATTCAGCTACCTCTGGGAGGTTTCAGCTTGTTTTTATTTTAGAGATACCAACTTAGAGAAGTCTTCCAATACATATTACAGCAAACACATTGTACAGAAGAGCTGGGATCAACAACCACTGGTCTACAGCTGCAATGCCAGTTTATAATCCTCTGCAAAAGCTTGAAATATGATATATGCTTAACAATACACCAAGATATCCCTAAATCTCAGATCTAGAAAGAGAACAAAAAAAATAGAATCACCACAAATCTTGTATTCAGGTTATTTCCATAAATTAAGCTGCTGCTATAATCACAAGGTGGCACAATGCCAGCTGCAAGCTGCATTATAAAACACTATGACTACAATAGTAGTCAAAGATGTAGAGTTCAGCACTAAAACCACCCTGGATTTCAATAGCCACAAACTAGTTACCAGCTGATGACAGGGTGCCTTCATTACTGTTCTACTTATGCTGTAAGATTAAGGCTGTAGCCCAAGCCATCCCCCCCCAGCCATGCCTTCCCTGGGTGGTGCAGCCACACCCCCACACAACCAATACCCGCGCTCGGTGCTGTGGAACAAGGAAGCCAGTAACTTGGCAGAACCAGGTCCCAAAACATTACTGAATGTTGCTGTTGAATTTTTTTCTTTTTTAACTCACATCACCAGAAAACTACATTGAGAACGTGTGACACCCTTGTCACGGGGCACAGACCAATGGAAACAACCACACAACTTTTTGAAGCGCTGGAGGTTCAAAAGAGGATAGCCACTGCCAAACCGTCCTGAAAGGAACATAATGTGGAAAACTTGAGTTGTGACTGAAGTTACACAGTCAAAAAGAGACAGTATCCAATTATTTAAAAGTTGTCATGCTAAAAATATCTTTTAAGCCCACCAAACTCACTTATGACAGAGAACCATAGGGAAAGAGAATTTGGATTCTCTAAGAATCCCATTATTTTGATAACTATTCTGTAAGATTCTGGAGCCCTCACATTTCTTTAGATAACAATTTATTTAGGCAACATTAAGGAGAATTTAAACAGTATTACTTTCCTTAACCAGCAGAAGCAGGAGCCATGCACAACAAAGACTTTCTGGAACACTAATGTCACTAAGGGATTCAACAGTCAAATACTCCCAAAAAAAAAAGTGAAAAAAAACTCTATGTTTTTAGAGATCTGAGAATTACAGCTCCAAAATGAGTTACTTTGCTTCCTTAAATCACTCTCAGAGGCCTAGAAAGTTAATCAGAAAATGACAGACAAAATAAAACTCCCTCAGTGATTTTCTTCTGGAAAATCCCATGTTTTAATTGAGAAACTTTCAGATCCAGTTTCACATACAAGTTTTCATAATTATATCCATTCCCTGACAGAACAGTCTGTACTTTTGACAGATCTTCTTATGGCACTGGTGCTGTGAAAAATTTAGCTGTAGCTTTAATGAGAAGTTAAAAAAGTTTCTTGTTCTGAATATTTACACGTAGTATAATGCCGCCTTTAAAATCTGTACCGCTGGTCAAGTTCAGTATCACTTGCTCTTCTCCTTACAAAACAAGAAGTTAAAAATAATTGCAGTGTTTCAATGCTAAACAGTTTGTGAAGCAAGGACACCTTGTGTTTGCTTCATCCAGCACTCCCTCACTCCATTCTTCAGAACAGTGTGGTGTTCTCTTAATCTTTTGAGTTCCTGTGCTTATCAGATGATAAAAAGAAAAAATAAAAATAAAGAAAAAAGCAAACATTCTACTACAGTTATAAACTTTGTCATGTAAGTTTCAGGTACTTCCTCAAATTGAAGTAAACACAAGACAATGGAAAAATTATACAGTTAATTGCACCGGGGTAAGTACTAAAATTTGTAATGAAAAGTCTTCCCCTTTTAATTACGATATCAAACAATTCAGAGCAGAGTTTGTTGTACAGAAGCTGAAACTGATTTACAGGAAGGCCTTCATTCCAGAGGGGTAAGAAGTCGTCTGAGGAGCAAAAGTCCATGGTTGGACTTCGGACATCCAAAGATGGCATGTGGGAAGGAATATGCCTCAGGTTCCCTACTACCCGTAAGACAGGAATGAGGAAGAAATACAGTGTTCTTTCTTACTTACTATGCACACACATAAGCTACTTAATTCAGATAAAAACATATCTTTGGAATCAGTATCACAGACAACTAAACTGGGATCGTATCACACCAACTTAATATTCAGAAGTACAAGTGCTCCAGTCGTACTCAGTCTCTATTACATGTGTTTTTTACCCAGCACAGAGTACGTCCATCCAAGCCATGACCACTCACAGTTTCTCCTGGAGAATGCTGTGGGAAATGCTGTCAAAGGCTTTACTAAGGTAAACAAACTAAGGCCCAGGTAAACAACATCCACTAGGCGTTGTCATAGCAGTACACTGGGTTGGTCAAGCCTTCCACAAATCCATGCTGGCTGGGACTGATCCCCCCCCCACAGTGGTCCTGTGTATCCTGCATGATGGCACTCCAGATAATTGCATGGGTATACAGCTCCCCACACAGTGCTATACCACTTGTGCAGACTGTCTTCTCTGTGCAATAGTACAAAATATGCTTAAAAAAAATTTGTATATTAATATATCCCAAGTTCTTAAAAGCTCTTCACATAGCAGGACTGTCAGCTTGATTTTCTACCAACTCAGAAAAGATTAAAAGAAGAAGTGATACAAGTATTCAAACACTTCTATTTGTATGGACTACAAATACTGAAATTCTATCAAATTAAAAACCTTGCAGAGAAAAAAAAATTAATGAAAGCAGAGGAAAGAAGAAATTCCAACAGCACAGTTTAAAGAAGCTGAGCTCTGGTGGACACAAAGAAAAAAAAAAGAAAGAGAAAAAGGAAAATATTTCCTCATGTAGTAAGAGACCTCTGATGCCATAGTAAGTTCACCAGTGTTTCTAGGAGTCTTGTCTTGATGTGCTGCTAAAAAAGCATCATATTATTGTAGTTATGTACCAGTCACAGAACATTTGGTCTGCTCTACCTGATAGTATCTACTTTGAAATTTAGGAATGCAATACACCAAGTTTTTATGATTCAGTGTTTTACTTTAGCCCTGTAAACATCGCAAGCCTTCAACAGAAAGGAGAACAGTTACAGTAAGTGGCTATTTCTGGCAATTTTTTTTCTATCAAACATCAAACAGTCCAAGTTAGACACAGCATATCCCAGAACTGAAGGAACAGTATGTATCAAAACGGGAGGGGGGAGGGGGGTGTTTGGGTTTTTAGCTCTGTTTTCCCTGTCCCCTTGTGGGCTGTTTGTAGAAACAAAAAAGCATCTTTTCATAAAGGTTCCTAAAGACAAAGTTTTACAGGTGAGTTCTTGTGACCATTTTTTTTAATTTTACTTTAAAGAAAGACATAAACAAAAGTACCTATCAGAAAGATATGGCAAGGGCTTACAGCACAGTCACGAATTTTACTTTCACAACAGCAAGCAGAGATTTTCTTTGACCATGAAATGAAATGCCATCAGAAACACTAACAGGCTTTTATTCACAGGGCTGACTTACAAGAATTTGATACAAAGTATACAAGTTTTTAATTGTATTTTCTTAAAACAAAATTGCAGTCCTTTTGTGATCTAAAGTCTTGAACTGAGACCTTTCCCCAGGCAAAATTTTAATATAGGAAGGACTCAAGTCAGGACCTGTGATACACAAGAATGTACATGCATGTGTACATTTCAACATTTCAGTATTGTGTCTTCTGTTTTAAGAAAGAGCATTCAGAATTATCCATGACTTACATTTGAGTCATTTGAAAAATAAACCCCAAAATCTAAAGTACAATTAACTTGCTCCTTCCATTGCAATTTATAGCAGCTTGAAGAGTTTCTGCAATAACCACCTTAAATCACAGACACATTAGTTTACACATGCCCAGTACTGCAGAAGCCTGATGCGGGTTAGAAAGAGCAAACAAGCTTCCTAAATAAAGACAAGTAATCAAAACCTTCTCTGTTGCTTTCCCTCACATCCACTTCTTCTACCTTTGGTTGTTCCCATGTGGAAATCCAGACTTCTAAAAACATGTATTTAACTGCAAGTATTAAACCACTCATAACCGTTTTACAATAATAAAGTACAGTCTTTAAGCATTTTATTTTTAAGCCTTTTGTTCATAGTTTTGCTTAGATATTTACTGCATTTATAATAAAAATAATACACAAAAAAGCACAACACTTCTTTTCAAAGAATGAAAATCTTTCTGCCAACACTAGAAAAGAAAATTCAATTTTTAATTCTCACTATTAAAGACTTTCCATCTTTAGTACAAGATTTTGCAACAAACAGTACAACCTACAGGTATGGACATTAGTATCAGATATTTCCACTGCTAGCTTTAAGATTCTGCAAGAACTCAGACCCCAAATTCATACACATCTACTTACAGTTCACATGCAAAATATATGAATTGGGAAAAAGAAATATTCACTTTCTAGAAAAGGCCAAGTATAACTTTTTTAATTATGAGACAAATGTGACTGTAAGCACCTGCTTACCAGAGAAAGCCTAGACACATTAAATACACAGCTTTATACTTACCAAGCTCTTACATTTTTCGTTTCTATCAGAGAAAAATACAAAGCCCTCAGTGAAGACGCTGAAGTCCAGAGGTGTCTCAATAACACATGCTGAGGCTTTGCCAGCCCAGACTTGATTTGTCCCTTAGTCACTCATCCTGCCTCTGCTCAGCAAGCAGCTCTGGGGCAGAGGCAGCAAGTGCTTGTGAGAGCGAGGGAACGGAGGCAACGCCGTCAGGCCAAGAACAGAGACACGAGTGTGGGAAGTGCCTTTTGTTAAAATAAACACTTTTGCAGTAAAAAAACATAGAAAGCATGGTCAAAGTATTACAATAAAAACTCTTACAACACTGAAAGCACTGATTTTAAACAGTCAAAAATGTAATCAAACACTGTGCTTGGACTACGGAGTGGCAGGCCAGGTTTTGGGCTTCTGGGGAGGGATGGTGGGCTGTGGCAGTAAGCCCAGCAAACTGCTGCTGATGCCTGCACTGAGCAGTGATGTTACTGCTCCCACCTGGACAGAAAGGGGAAGAGAGAGTGTTCTGCTGTTCCCTGACAGAATGACAGTAAGAAAATACAGATAGATAAAACCCTGCCTTTCATTCAGAGATGTTAGTTATCCTCACAGCAAAGCAGGCTGTAAGGAAGAAAACAAGTTCTCCTCTCCAAAGCATGCCAAACAGGTTCAGTGCTGAAAAGTTCCTTCCTGTGCACTTGCTTGGCGTGAAATATCCTCAACACTGTATTACTTCCCATATGTGAAAGCCAGTCTTGAACACACAGGTACTTACCCTGCCAAGGCAAAGCACTACTACCTCAAAGCATAATGCTGCTTTTGAAAACAAAGTCTCTCTGACATCCTTCAGTTGAAGTCAACAAAAATGCAGATGTCTCAAATGCAAAATAATATCGACTGTCTCCATAAGCAATGCTGAGCTTACCTAGACAATCTAATTGTAAAGGTAAACCATCTTCCTAGAAAACTGACTACCTGGAAATAAACTATTTGCACACATAACATCACTGGAACTGATGAGACCAATTAACGCAGTCCTTCAAGCTACTGCTGAGAATTGACATGTTTTACTTTCCAGCTCCAGTGTGATATTTCCTTTTCAATGACCAAGCCAGTCATTGCTCAGTGATTTGATGTGGTAGGTGAATAAATTGGTATTGCTCAGAAATCCTTTTCCTGGTTCTCCATCTAAGCACGTTTCAGCAGGGATAAATAACCCTGAAGTTAGGCAAAAAACTGTGCTGTACTATCTCGGTTAGACCAGGTCTGCAGCCAGGAGCACAGACATTTTACAAGTCCACAAGTAATTTTGCCTCTGGGGATGAGGCAAGAGAAACTGGTTGGTTTAATAGAAGCCATGAAAAAAGAAAGCCACAGGGTGGCACTAGAGGTAGGCTGTATTTTGAAACTACTTGGCTGCTTATTCTTTTCTGGGTAAATCAGAGTTTATCTAATCCCATCTGCATAAAACAGGAGAGTAGTTAATTAGTTTTCCTTCAAGCATTGTACTGTCCAGCAAGAAATATCCCTAGATATAAATCACATCATAAGAGAAACACCTACTTCAGAATTTTCAGAGTATTTTATAAATTAATGAAATGGCATTTAAGAGCATTAAGACAAGACTGCTATTGTAAAGATAGGTTAGGAATTGATACCTATTTTGGGTTTGTCAATTCATTTTGGAACAATTTAAGAAGAAAATCTCCATAAAGCATGTGCATTTTCATACATAAGCTAAAGAATTTTCTTCATACCATGATTTTTTATCAATGTTGCGACGGAAAAATCTCAGACAGTTCTCTCTTCCTCTGAGAGGAAGGACAGTATTAACCTATGAAAAAGTCTTAACACTGCATTCAACACCATCACATTCTTTTAAAACATTTTCATTCTTATATATAAAAGAATCATACATCATTTCATCCAAAATAGACAATTTATTACAGTAATGTTTCAAAGCTAGACTTCAGAGTCTATTTAATCTGCTTTGTTGGCTGCTTTTACCCCAAATTTCAAATCCCTACTATTTGAGTTAAAAGCAAAAACAATTGCAAGAAAAGCAATTCCTGTTCATTTAGTGAAGAAACTGATTTTCAAAGGAGATTTGGAGGTCATCCAAGATTGCAACAGTTACTTTCTACTTTATAAAACAAAAGTCCCTTCAAGGTATAAATTTGATATTTAAGTAGATTCTGAACCAACAGATAATATATGACTATGCACAACCACTTCAGTTGCTGAAGTCCTCATTCTAAGTTTTCAGTTTGAAAGTATGATCACTAACAGTCTTCCTTTGATGTTTCTAGTAACAAATGAAAATAAACAAAAAGTTTTATTTTAGTTCAGTTGCACCATAATATAAATTAGAACACCAATTCATCTCCTGTCATTTTTCTTACTCCAGAGGGCAAGAATTGTAAAAAACAGAAAGTTTTATTCCCTCAGACAGAAGTTCAAGAGTGGTCTGGTAATTGTTCCAACTGCCAAGTGGAACATAAGCCATTCTTTCTGCTACAAGATTGCTCCCTGTATTTATATATGGAGATTATTCTGCTATTAGATAGCATGACATTAATATATTGGCAAAGAAATATGCCAATATAGCTGTGACTTTAACATTGGATAAAGTAGATGATTATGTAATAGCATTGATTGCCAAAGCTATACAAATTTGATTTGAGTATATTATTTACCAATTTGTGGACTCTTACACTAAGGCACTCTATGTGTTAGTAAATGGTTTCAGAACATATGCCCGACAAATACTAAATTAAAAAGTTAGTGACCTGATAAGATAAACTGATTTTGGTACCAAAACCTCAGTGCCTGGTGTCAATGTCGCTTAAAAATGTAATAGAAAAATTTAACAGAAAAGTAATTAAGGCACCTCCTCCTCAAAAAACACAAACAAACAAACCCACTAGCCAACCACAGAACACAAAGGAAAATACTACTGTAAAGACTTGTCTATTATTATTTCCTCTGACGGATTGGGAAAGCAAAGGCTTCTGCGGAAGTGTTGGCATGTAGACACTGCATAACCATACTTAGAACACTTCATACAGTAACTTCCCAGTTCATCAATTACATGAACCAGGACACTGTTTGCATATAACACTCCAAGGTCATGTGCTGATGCAACTAATGGAAATGAAGTCCGTTAATTCTAAATAAAATAACTATTTAAGCAAAAAATAGACACACTGGATGCAATCTAAAAGTGCTTCAAATAAGCTTCTCTGTTCCCCTCTATTGACACCTATACCGTTATTAATAGAAAGCTAAATCAAAGTGGACAAATTCGGGAAGAAGGTGCATTGCTCATCAAGGCCATAACTTTAAAAGTATGGACTTTGAGAAAGCTGTGTGTAAGAAGATACATGGAAGTAACTAGCATGTCTTCTGTTTGAATTCTGTATTCTTCTGTTTTTTATTTTCCTTACTTAAGACAGAGAAGTGTTTGTAGTTAATTTGTACATATTTTGCACAGTTTTGGAATAACGTCTCTGGACAGCACTAGGAAACTTATGCAATTAAACTGTTAATTTTGCTTATCGTATTTCTAAAAATCAAATTGCTAATCATAACTTTGAAACTAGCCAATGCTAGCTCTCACAGTTTGTCATGAGTACTGGAACAGCATTTGGTCTACGATGTGCCATTACAGAATTTTCAGGTCTAGATGGGAGGTCACACACACACAACATCTCCAAGGGAAAAAAAAAATAAAAAATCAAATACTAAAATTTTAAATAAAATCAAATACCAAACAAACTATCCTGTCAATCCTAGTCCTGTCTCACCCAATGTAGAACAAACAAATAAAACAAACAAATATAATCTATGTTTTCACATCTCAGGTATCTGAGAACTTCATATCTATTTATTTATGCAGATGACTAAATAGTTCCTTCATTTTTCAAATATCTTTGAACAGAAGTATTTGTTCAAGAACATAAAAGACAGAAATTAAATGGCTGCATAGCTTTTGTCACTGCAATTCAAAACATTTATGTCCAATTCCTAACAACCACAGTATCACACAATTTTACACCCTTCCTCAAACTGCAATCAACATTTAGCCCAAATTTCAGCACAACCCACAGGAATTTAGATATAAGAAATTTTTAAAAGCAAAACAAAACCCTCCACACAGCTATTCTTAGCCAGCACTGTGAGGCACATTCTTACATTCCCATGGAAAGTTAACAGCACAAGGAGCATGGCTGCATGTTCCCTTGAGGCCAGGCACAACGGAACTGTTGGACAAAGAACAAGTTCTGGTCCCCACCACTTGCACATACACACAGATCATGGGAACTTACTTTCTCTGGGTCACTTGGCTACACAGCTGCATATGTGTAATTTGTTTTTAGAGCGCAAATGTCTTCCTTTAAATGAACAACCAATTACTCCATGATCAAAAAAAAAATCCAGAAGAGACAAAAATATCTGTATTGCTAGTATGGTATACTTCATAGCATAAACTAAACACACACACAAAGTCTGTTTCACTGAACAGTACACAACTACCTTATGAGTACAAATTCTGCCACATTAAAAGCTTTAGACAGGTGACTACTATCATCATATCAGTCCCAGGAGTCCAAAAACCATGATGCAGAAGCCCCATCTCTGTCTCTTGCTGGCATGACTAAAAATGACTTCAGTATTTTTCTAGCAGAAATAAATTGATTTTATTATCTATTTAAAAGACAGGTTAATAACAGCTATCAATAGTATCTAATGGATCAAAAAACTACTTCCACTCCTGGACTTCTACTCAGTTTCTGCTCAGAAGTCACAAAGACTTCTTTAACAATTTCAGTAGAACTAAGGAGTGAATGTGGATGGAAAACTGTTGTAATCATGTAACTGCAGCTACCATAATACACAAGTGACTCTGTGTTGAAAGTTCTGGGACAGCCACAAATTAAGTTTGTTAGACAAAGCTGGTCTAGTATTGACTCAGATATATTAAGAAGGACCAGAAAAATAGGCTACAGTTCTATTTGTCACTTCATATATGTATAGAGGCTCAAACAAGTTGTGGCTTGCTGCTAGGAGAGATCAGAATTCACCTGTCAAATTAGGAGTTACAGCAGGTAAAGACAGAGGAAACAGACTGAGTGATTCTGGATGTCTTCACCCTCCTCCTCCTCTTCATAAG